GTGCACTCTGCCAGCTCAGCGTAGCCGCCGTTGGGCAAGGGTTGATGCCACCTTTGGCCACATGCCGGGGCTTTATCCGAGCAATCTCCCTCGATCCTCCGGCAACATTCCCATCCCAAAGGAAACGGAGAGCTGCACCGGCGGTGGTCCACTGTCGGTAGCTGCCTTCCTCCCGGCCAAGTCGCCCGGTTTGATGGAGGGCAGCTTTGATTCGAAGAGCGCTGCTTGGGTCTGCATCTGGGTCTGGAACATCTTCGTACTTGAGAATCGTCGGCGGGGACAGTTCATGGGCTGATGCAGTTCATACCTTGCTCTTGGGTTGGAAGATAGGGGGAAAAAAAAGGGCCGGAGCCCCTTTTCTGGCGATTCCATCTGCATCGTGAGGAAGGGCGCCCGTGGATGTGAGCGTAGTGGCGCAGTTTTAGCGTTCAACGGACATGGAGGTGTGTCCCGTAACTTGATCAGACTTGCAAAAATGGATCGTCCCCATCGCCGACCGTCAGCTCCACAACGGCCGTTCGTACTGACAATTTGGGTTGTAATGACCAGTTTGGTGTTCGGAAATACGTTCCCCCCTGACCTGTGTTGTTGTCCAGCGAAAATGTCCGCCTAACTGGTCTGCGAAAATGTCCATTTAGGCACATGCCAAACCATCTGACGCCGACATCGACGATGCGCTGCTGATGCTCCTCAGTGGCGGGCTCTGGGCCAGAGCGTACTTGCGGGCGGTGTTCCGGTGGATGCCTAACTCGCGGGCGATTGCCCGAAGGGAGAGCCCCCTGAGTTTGGCCTGTTGCACATTCTCCCACAGAGCCTTCTGGCGAGCGGTGGGTATGCTGTGTTGTTGCGCCTTTGATTTGCGAGGCCTCAAGTCCCGGTCCACCTCGCCTGGTTCCAACCTAGCCAAGCAAGCATCCCATTGGCTTCCCGCTCCTCCGGGATCTTCCACATGGGGGATAGCGATTGCCCTCAGCATACCAGAGCGTGGCGGCGCCTCCTGCGTAGGGATGGTCTGTCCTTGATACTGCACCAGAAGCCGGCCCTCCAGGTTCTCTTGGACCTCCACCTGCACCCCGGCGTAAGTCGGACGGGTCCCGCCTGGCAACAGTTGCAGGGTGCGCCTGTTGTACTTGATGGTGTTGTCCCTGGACACCTTGCGGCGGTGTTTGAAGCACAGGACCTGATCGAGAGACACCGGCTGCTCCGGGCGACGGTAGGCACGATGATCCTGCTCTGCCTTTACGCCAAACTTCTCGTTGAATCGTGGCAGAAAGCCATTCAGGAGCTCATCGGCCTCAGTGAGCCTGAGGTGGACCCCAAAATTCGGACAGGTGGCTAAGAGAGAGTCCCGCTCCTAAAATAGGACGGAAACAAGGAGCAGGACATGAAGCAAACACGTAAGAAGCACAGCCCAGTCTTCAAGGCCAAAGTGGCTTTGGCCGCGCTCCAGGGGGAGCACACCATTGCAGAGCTGGCCAGCCGGTTTGAAGTCCACCCGAGCCAGATCCATGCCTGGAAGAAGGCCTTGATTCAGGGGGCGCCGCACCTCTTTGAAAATGGTGCTGGACTCCAGGAGAAGGACCCAGAGGTCCTCACTGCCCAGCTCTACCAACAGATTGGGCAGCTCAAGGTGGAACGGGATTTTTTGTCACGGAGCTTCGGGTTATGAGCCGGTCCCAACGCCGGGCCATGATTGACCGAGAAGAACCGAAGCTGTCTCTGGTGCGCCAGTGCGCCTTGCTGGATATCAGCCGCTCCTCGTTGTACTACCTGCCAACCGAGGCCGGCGCCGAGGACATGGAGTTGATGGCCCTCATAGACCAACAGTACCTGAAGACACCTTTCTACGGATCCAGAAGGATGACTGCCTGGCTCAGAAATCACGGACACCAGGTCAACCGCAAGCGGGTCCGCCGGCTGATGCAGCTGATAGGCCTGGAGGCCATCTACCGGCGTCCCAACACCAGCAAGCCAAACCCAGGGCATAAGGTCTATCCGTACTTGCTCAGGGGGCTGGAGATCAACCGGGTCAACCAGGTGTGGGCCACCGACATCACCTACATACCCATGGCTCGGGGTTTCCTCTACTTGGTGGCCATCATGGACTGGCACAGCCGCTACGTGCTGGCCTGGCGGCTGTCCAACACCCTGGAGGTGGACTTCTGTGTTGCGGCTCTGGAAGAGGCCTTGAGCAAGGGTCGGCCACAGATATTCAACACCGACCAGGGCAGCCAGTTCACCAGCGAGGCCTTCACCAGCATGCTGCTGGCGCAAGGCGTTCAAGTGAGCATGGACGGCAGGGGCCGGTGCATGGACAACGTCTTCGTGGAACGGCTATGGCGCAGCATCAAGTACGAGGAGGTGTACCTGAAGGCATACCAAAATGGGACTGAGGCCAGAAAGGGGATTGGGGCTTATCTGGCCTTCTACAACCAAGAGCGGCCCCATCAAGCCCTGGGCTATCAGTCACCGGGTCAGGTGTTCCAAGCAGTGAGCCCACAAAGGTGTTTACTGGAACATCCACGAGCCTTACCATCGGATGAAGGTTTACGAGACACCCCAGCGGTAGACTCTCTTATTTTAGCCTCACCGCTGTCCTGATGAGGGGGTCCACTTGAGGGCGGCCCCCGGCCAGCAAGCTCGGTTACCAATCGGTCCTGGAATGTGGCGGCAGCACGCTCCACTCTACCCTTGGCTTGTGGTGATCTGGCGAAGATCATCCGGATACCCAGCTCCTCCATGGCCCGGGCGAACTGAGTCGGGCCTGCGGGGTAACGGTCTATGTCGCCGGTAAATTTGAAGACCGGGTGCCGGTCGCTGTAAATGGCGAGGGGTATTCCATGCATCCTGATCAGCCTGTTCATGAGCAGGAAGTAGCTTGGAGTGTCCTCCTCCTGGCAGAACATGGCTGCGGGCACAGTGCCGGTGGCGTCATCCACGGCCAGAAGCAGGGCAAACTTGGGCCCATTCTCCCCCAGCCAGCGGTGGTGGCTGCCGTCAACCTGCACCAGCATTCCCTCCTGCGGCATTCGCAGCCGCCGCACCCGGTGGCGCTGGGAACGGCGGCTGCGCGGACTGCCGATGCCGGCCTTGACCAAGATGCGACGTACGGTGGGACGGCTCAGACTAATGCCCTCCCGTTCCCGAAGCAGCTCGGTTAGGTGGGTGTGATTGGTGCCCGCGTACTTGGCGCTGGCCAACCTCACCACTGCGGCAGCGTCGGATTCCAAGACAGCATTGGGCGGTCGGCGCCCCCGGTTTCCATGGGCTAGGGCAACTGCTCCGTCCCTCCGGTAAGCATTCAGGAGTCGCCTCGCATGGCGCTCGCTTACCCCGAGAATCTCGGCAGCCTGACCAATGGGGACCTGGTATTCCAGGATGTCGTTAAGCGCTTGGAGTCTCGCCAGTTCTCGCTGTTTCAATGTCACATCCTTCATGGATGGACTGCGATGATTGGCCTGCGCCATCTCGGCAGGGTCTGACCCTTGGATTGACTGGCTGGAGTGCCTTCAAAATGATCTGTCGGCCCGATCCCGAGATGGCCAGACAGTGCCAACGGCATTGGCGAGAAGTGACCTAATAGGAGCTTGGCATAAAGTCCCATCGCAGTCTTGTCCGATCGCTATGCCGTCGGGCCATCCTCCCGGAGGTCGAAATGACAGGAGCCCTCAGTGACGAAGGTGGTCATGTGGTTCAGGTGGTGGTCGGAGTAGACACCCATCAGGATCAGCATGTGGCGGTCGCCATCGATGGTCGAGGTGTGTATCTTTGCGAGCGCCAGGCGCCAGCGACCATTCGCGGTTACTCAGAACTCGAACGGTGGGCCCGGAGCTTGGGAGAAATTGTTCGCCTTCGGGATCGAAGGCGCCGGTTCCTTTGGCGCCGGAGTCGCTCGCTATTTGACTGGCCTGGGCTATGCCGTATTCGAGGTCAATCGTCCTGACCGGTTGACCCGCTACCGGAAGGGGAAGAGTGATCCAACCGATGCGGAAGCGGCGGCCCGGGCGGTGCTTTCCGGAGTAGCTGACGCAACTCCCAAGTCAGGTGAGGGCGAAGTCGAAATGATCCGCATGCTCAAGTGCGCCAAGGACTCCGCTGTCAAAGCCCGAACCCAGGCCGTCAATCAGATGAAATCCCTGGTCGTTACAGCGCCGGCTGAGCTACGCGAGCTCCTGAACGGTCTCCCCCCTGCTGCCCTCGCCTCGCGCTCCAAGAGCTTCCGTCCAAGCCCCTCTGAACGATCCAACGGCCGCCGCCAAGTACACTCTCCGTTCCCTTGCCTGCCGATACTGTCAACTGAATAAAGAAATCAAAAACCTGGAGGCAGAACTGTCACTACTCACCCGTCAGGCATCGCCGGCCCTGGTCAGCATCTTCGGAATAGGGCCCGACACCGCGGCGGCCCTGCTGATCACGGCTGGAAGCAATCCCGAACGACTCCACTCCGAGGCTGCTTTCGCTGCTCTGTGCGGAGTAAGTCCGATACCTGCGTCCTCCGGCAAGACCAACCGGCATCGGCTGAACCGCCGTGGGGACCGCCAGGCCAATGCCGCCCTCCATCGCGTTGTCGTTGTCAGGCTCCGTTACGACAACAGGACCAAGGAATACATGCGCCGACGAACCGGAGAGGGACTAAGCAAGACCGAGGTCATTCGTTGCCTCAAACGCTATGTCGCTCGGGAAGTCTTTTCCGCCCTACAGAAACCAGTGACTGCAGCTCGGTGGGCGGCTTGACATATATAGGAGCATCATTTTCGCTGAACAGTTAACTACAGACCTAATCGTAGACCAACAACATGCCCTGCCCCCAGTGATTGTACCAGGTATTATCTCACAATTTGGGCCATAGTTTGGGCCATAGTAGAGGAAGGATGGTCTGAGGCGCTGGTGGACGATAACCCAGGGAGCTATGAGGTCTCACCTGGTTATATTCTTTTCTCCACCACTCGATTAGTATCCGGGCTTCTGTCAGGGTGCCAAACACCTCCCTGTTGAGGAGTTCATCCCTGAACTTCCCGTTGAATGACTCGACATACCCGTTCTCCCAAGGACTGCCCGGCTCTATGAACATGGCCTTCACCCCAAGATCTGATAACCACCCTCTCACTGCCCTGGAAGGTGAACTCTGGGCCGTTGTCTGATCGTATGTGCTCTGGGACTCCCCTAACCAGGAACAGCATGTAGAGCCGCTCCAAGACATCTTGGGATGTGATGCTCCGCTTCACAACCATGGCCAAACACTCTCTGGTATGCTCGTCTATGACGGTGAGGATACGGAAGGCTTTCCCATCTGAGGTCCTGTCAGCCACGACGTCGTAGCTCCACACATGGTCCCTGTACTCTGGCCTGAGCCTTATGCACGACCCATCGTTCAGCCATAGCCTACCTTTCTTGGGCTGTTTGCCGGGCACCTTCAACCCCTCCACCCTCCATATCCGTTCCACCCTTTTGTGGTTCACCTTCCACCCTCCATTCCTCAAGATAGCCGTGACCCTCCGATACCCGTATCTACCGTATCGGGTAGCCAATGCCACGATCCTCTCGACCAGAGACCCGCTCTCCAAGTCCCTTTGCAGGATGTACCTCTGTGTTGCTCTAGGCTGGGTGAGCACCTGGCATGCCCGCCTCTGAGACACCCCCATCTCCTCACATACCCTCTCTACCACCCTCCGTCTCCCAGGCGGGCTCAGGAGTTTCCCTTCAACGCCTCCTTCAGTATGTCCTTGTCCAAACTCAGGTCCGCCACCAACCTCTTAAGCCCTACATTCTCCTTCTCCAGCTCCTTGAGCCTCCTCGCCTGCTCCACACCCATGCTGCCATACTCCTTCCTCCACACATAGTAGGTGTGATCAGATACACCTATCCTCCTTGCAGCTTCTCGTATGGCATGCCCTTGGTGCACCAGCACCTCCACCTCCCGCAGCTTCCCTATTATCTGCTCCGGTGTATACCCCTTCCTTGCCATCTGTTCCCCCTTTCAACACCTCCAGTCTACGAGTCTATTACTGGACCAGTTTTTGGGGGCAGGTAACCCCCGTCATCTGAGGCGCGCCATTTCCCCTTTTCATTCTGAGGCGCGCACGCCGAAGAATCTAGGGGTTGCACACACGCCGAGCTGTCAACAATGGGCCGTCCCCAACGCCAGACAATTAGATTCCTCATCCGTTCGCGCATGACAAGGTGGGGGGGGAATGACGATTTACCCCAGTACTTCTGAGGAGTGCCCCGTGAGTCCGAGGCGCACCTCTCGCCCCACTGTCATTCCGAGGAGCGCACGACGAGGAATCTAGATGCACTAAGCCGAATCCACCGAAGGACACGGATGGACGGCGTGAGGGCAGCGGAAGGGGGTGGGTGAGGGAGCTACAGGGGAGATGGCCTGGGCTCATTGGGGTAGATGGGAGGCCGGCGGACGGTCTTCAGTCGCCGCACAGGGCCCCTAAGGCCCTATGCGGGAGTTGCGATGCGCGGGATGGCGAGAGGATACGCAGCAGGGGACTCTCGCGACCGGGGTGGCGCGAGATTGCGGGGACGTTGGGTCAGTTGCAGGCTGGCCGTCAGGCCGGGAATGGAATGGCTTGCAGCCGGGCCAAGGCGCGACTGAACTGGGTTTCCCAAGGCCAGCGCCGGGGGAGATGCAAAGTGAGGCGGCGCGCCGAGCGGGTGATCCGTCCCACCAGAGCGAAGACCCGCCGCCTGAGGGTCTTGGTGGTTACGGTCCGTTCGCCCAGACCAATCCGCGCCGTCCAGCGGGCGAGGTTATGCGCCATCACCTGGACCGCCAGCCAGGCGCCGTTGGCGGCGAAACGCCCCGACGGCATGTGGTTCAGCCCGACGCCGTACTTGAGGTCGCGTATGGCGTTCTCGACCTCGGCGTGGCGGCGATGATCGGCCTCCAGTTCCAGCGTCTCCCCATCGCGGTCGGTGATGAAGGCGTGATAGCTGTATCTGGCGAAGAGGGCGAGCTGGGAACCGGGTGTCGGCTTCACCCGCCGGACAATGAGCCGCGCCGGCGGGGCGTCCGGCTTGGTCTGGAACGGGGTGTAGAGCCTGTCTCAAAAGTCAGCAATAGTGTTAGCGTGTACGCTGTGAGCCGACGCTGGGAGAGGAGACAGGAATATGCCGCTTCGAGATATGGACCGGGAGCAGATGTGGCTGTTGCCGCCGTCTCTTGACGAACTGTTGCCATTGGATCACCCTGCTCGATTCGTGGCCGTGTTCGTTGACGCTCTGGACAAAGAAGGCTGGGCCGAGTTGGGGGTGGAGATAGACGGAGACCCCTCTGGGAGCGCCGGCCTACCATCCTCGGGCACTGCTCTGCGTGTGGCTGTATGGCTTCATGACCGGGGTGCGTTCCTGTCGCAAGCTGGAGGCGGCCTGCCGGGACCAGATACCGTATTTGTGGCTGACCGGATGGCAGCATCCGGACCACAACACCTTGTGGCGGTTCTACAAAGAGCACAGGCAGGCTATGAGGAGACTGTTCAAGCGTACAGTGCGGACAGCGGTGGCAATGCAGCTGGTGGACCTAGCGGTTCAAGCGGTGGACGGGACGAAAGTGGCGGCCAACGCCACAAGGGATAGAACATACGACGCCGAAAGAGGACGCCGATTGCTGGACCGGCTGGAGCAAGCAATAGAGGACCTGGAGGCACAGAACGAGGGGGGAGAGGATGCCCCCGCCGTCTATCTGCCAGAAGAGCTGGCCGACAAGAGAGCCTTGAGAGAACAGGTGCGGCAGGCGATGGACGACCTGGCGAGCCAGGAAGGTCTTAGGCACATCAACCTGACCGACAAGGATGCTCGCCTCATGAAGACACGGCACGGCATCGTGCCCGGCTACAACGCCCAATCCATGGTCTCAGCAACAGAGGTGGATGATGATGCCTCCGGGATGCTGATCACCGCGGTTGACGTGGTAGATGAACCGACCGACTACGGCCAGTTTACCCCGATGTTGGAGCAGGCCGAGGCGACGACGGGCGCCAAAGCGTGCATGACCTTGGCTGACGCCGGCTATTACTCGGGGAGCAACCTGTCAGAGTGCGCTGGCAGGGGGCAGGGGGTGGCGATGCCAGAGACATCACATCGACAGTCTCGAGGTCATCCGTACCACAAGGATCGGTTCGTGTACGATGAGAGCAGCGACAGTTTCATGTGTCCACAAGGAAGGGTGCTCCCCTTCGAACGTATCCACATCTCCTCCAAGGGAGCCCATTTCCGGTTCTATCGGGCACCCGGAGCCATCTGCCGAGCGTGCCCTGCCTTTGGAGTGTGCACGAAGAGCAAGGATGGCCGCAACGTATCCGTCGGGCCGTACGATGCGGCACTGCGGCGCCACCGCGCTTGGATGGCCACCTCGGCAGCTAAAGAGGCGTACAAGCTGAGGAAGCAACTGGTTGAGCCGGTGTTCGGGATTATCAAGGAGCAACAAGCGGGCCGGAGGTTCCTTTTGCGAGGTCTGGCAAACGTGGCGGCCGAGTGGACCGTATTGGCCACAGCGTTCAACCTGAGAACCCTTTGGCGAGTGTGGCGCTCCCGCGGCTTCGGCCACGTATTTGGCGGTCACCATGTCCCTCATCACGGCTCCCAGAGCCTCATCGCGCTTCCTGAATCGTGTCGATGACACATGTCCATCCTTACTGCTCGACCTATCCCCGATCTCAGGCCAGTCATGGGTAGGTCAAGGCACGGCTATCGACCTCTCAGCCCTTCCAATTCCTCATTCCCCCTAACTTATTGAGACAGGCTCTACACCCCGTTCCAGGCCGAGGCGGACGCCCCGCCGGTACGGCTCATCGTCCGGCGGGTGAAGCCGGCGCCCGGTTCTCAACTGGCTCTCTTCGCCACCTACAGCTATCACGGCTTCATCACCGACCGCGATGGGGAGACGCTGGAACTGGAGGCCGATCATCGCCGCCACGCCGAGATCGAGAACGCCATACGCGACCTCAAGTACGGCGTCGGGCTGAACCACATGCCGTCGGGGCGCTTCGCCGCCAACGGCGCCTGGCTGGCGGTCCAGGTGATGGCGCATAACCTCGCCCGCTGGACGGCGCGGATTGGTCTGGGCGAACGGACCGTGACCACCAAGACCCTCAGGCGGCGGGTCTTCGCTCTGGTGGGACGGATCACCCGCTCGGCGCGCCGCCTCACTCTGCATCTCCCCCGGCGCTGGCCTTGGGAATCCCAGTTCACTCGCGCCTTGGCCCGGCTGCGAGCCATTCCACTCCCGGCCTGACGGCCAGCCTGCAACTGACCCAACGTCCCCGCAAACTCGCGCCACCCCGGTCCGCGAGCGTTCCCTGCTGCGTATTCTCTCGCCATCCCGCGCATCGCAGCTCCCGCAGACGGCCATAGGGGACCCTGTGCGGCGACTGAAGACCGTCCGCCGACCTCCCATCTACCCCAATGGAGCCCAGGCCATCTCCCCTGTAGCTCCCTCACCCCTCTTCCGCTGTCCTCACGCCGTCCATCCGTGTCCTTCGGTGGATTCGGGCTAAAACCTTACATGCGGTACAGCTTGCCAGGCGGTACCAGTCAAAACGGAGAGATGGCTTGGCTCGGACTATTGCATCACATCAAGGGACGGACTACCAAAGTCCAACCAAACCATTGAAGCAAGAGATTCGAGAGCCATGCAGTCGATGATGGACAAGCACAACAGAGCCACCGTCGTAGACAACATATCTTGTATAGTTGCACGAAGAAGGATACAACGATACGTGCTGGCTTGGAGACAACTATACCTCAACAGCAGCACAGCGCACGAGTCGAGGGCGACTACATCGAATACGGACTACCACTCGCCTACCATACACTGACAGACGGCATTTTGTCGTTGGCAAGAGTATAAAACGAGAGCGCCAGATCGAGGACACCAGACAGCTGGAGTCAGGATATATACGAGCCGCCAGCACCCAGCACGCTCACCAGAGGACAGGTTGCAGCTGGGACCATACTACTGCTAAAGCTACAGATGGAGCGCTTCGGGGTCGCATGACACTGAGAGACACACCACCGTGGACTATGATTGACATACAAAGACGCGTTCTCGTCCGGTGTTGACGTGCTCATGCTGGTCGGGTGGTACCCGATGAAAGTCTCACCATGAAGACACTGCCCCATACCTTATGAGGTTTCCTCAGATCGAGACTCAAAACCCGCCTATCGAACATCACATACGTAAGCCATAGCTATGATTGTCAGGCAGCTTACGTCGACGACGCCAGCCAAGACCTGATGTAACATCACACTAGAAACTCCTGTGATGCGAATCACATCTTTAGAATGGACGGTGTCCCCGATGCTTTCTATATCCACTGACCTCAACCAGCTCTCTTGTCCAAATACAAACAAGGTGTCTACACCGTTCTTGTATGGGTAGCATCGGCGGCGAGGATGTGGTTCATCTCCCAATATTCCATATTCACAGATACGCTCCCGGAGCTAGAGCCCGTTGTGGCCAACTCCGACTCCGTCCGCTTCATGTTCAAACGCCCAATATGCGGGCACTCAGATAAAGACCGATGCTTGATCTAATCATGCCACCCGCGTCCAAGCTGGGTTGGGTCAGATTGTTCTCAGCAGCAAATGAGGCCTCCCAACTGCACGCGAGGCGTCGCTGAAAGTTGCTCTGGTGTCTCATTGGGGTACGGAGTGAACGAAGCCCTATATGCGATAACAGCTTTGGCTGGCGGTTACCAGTCCCCAACGGCGCCGCCATATCGGGAAGAAACTACTGCATAACCAAATCTGACGGCTACAGTCCGATTGACAGCTTACGTGGCTGCATGAGCGAGCAGGCTATACACTCGATCCTTGGCACAAGAAAGTCAACATCGGGCTGGCATGGGAACAGTTCAACACCTTCGTTGTGCAGCACTCGAGGGCGACCTACGTCGAGTACGACAACCTTGCCCGCCATCAGTGACATACAGCGCGTTTTGGTCGTTGGCAGGACAA